CAGCACATTGGGTGAGGGTACTCACCGCCAAACCTGACAGTCTGAATTCGAGTCCCGGGACTCACATATTAGAAGGACAGAACTTACTGTCTCCAATTGTCCTCCAACCTCCACACACCCTCTGGGACACATGCATAAACTCTTTTACATGCACATGTATGCTTGTGCGCAGACACACATACTAGATAGATAGATAGATGATAGATAGATGATAGATAGATGATAGATAGATTAGATAGATAGATAGATAGATAGATAGATAGATAGATAGATAGATAGATAGATAGATGATAGACAAAATTTTTTTGGAAAAATCAAATTTTTTGAGTTTGTAACATCACTCACTAGACAGTGGAAAGTGGAAACAAGAGGCGAGACCCAGAGATCAATCAACTCCGAAGGGCCTTGTCTCATTGCTGAGAGAGCCCAGAGCAAAATTTCTAACAGTTCTACGCAACCAGAAAAAGAAGGAGGAAGACTTGGAGGGAGGGACAGGAAAAGTCCTGGTCCCTGACTCAGGATGACGAGTGTCTGCAAGAGTCTCCTTCTCCCTGAGGATACCTCAGTTGAGGCAGACCATGAAGACCTCAGCTCCGGGCATCAGAGAGGACCCAGCAATGGGGCGCCTAGGTTGGAACTTAAAGATGTAGAAGAGCATGACCATTCAGGGTCCTTGGCTCTTCACCTCAGTGTCCCTCAGGAACTTCAGGGCATTGACTGGGCCCAGGTCTGGGGTGTGGAAGATAGCATTGCTCCATGAGGCTTGTTAAGCAAGCTTTGTAAACTACCCACAGTTAGACCTGGGGAACCACAGAGGATTTTAATCCCAACCCAACTCCTCTTCAGGATGAGTCTCTTGGTGGGCAATGGAGTTAGGCCTACCTTGGGGCAGCAGACAGAGCTTTCAAACTCCCTGGTGACAGAAATCCTTGCCAGACCTGGTGAGTGCTGAGGCCTGCAGACCTCTTCAGGCCTTAGGTCCACAGAGGACCTAAGCTGGTGCTAAGAAAACTCTGCTCACCTTCACCTCCATACTAAGAACTCTTCTGCACCCAGGTACCTGGTGGCCAGGCCTGGACTGTAGGCCCTTCCTGAGTCCCCAGCCCCAGACTAGTACAACAGGGAGCTTAGGGAAGGAGGCCCAGGACATTACTTCAAGTAAATTCTCTCCATCCCTGCCTGACCCTGCCCCCCACAACCCCCGACACACGCACCAGGAGGAAGCAACACACTGAGCAGAAGTACCCAAGAGAATTCAGGGCCTGCTGCCTTCTCCCTGCTCACTCAGGTCTGGGTTTTTCCTGCCAGGGTGGGATGTTGCAAGCCATGCCTGACCAGGGCTGGCCTTCCTGACAGGGAGAAAGCAGATAATCCAGGCTGTACTTCTTAGCTACCATGGACCAGATGTCTCTTCTCTGTCATTCCATGATGGGTTGAAAACTCAGATCCTTGGAGGAAAGTGATTGACATTTCTTCTAGGAGCTGCCTCTCTCACAGGGATGTTTGTGACAACAGATCCTCATTTCTCCATACTTAATCTCGCCTTCAGCTGCAGAAACCCTGCTCCCCTCGTGACTGTGACAAAGGCCGGGAGGCCTCATGTACAGGGCTGCCCTCAGAGGACATGAATGTGCAAATTTGGCAATAAGGTTTCCCAGGATAGAGAGAGGTGACCCCTGTCAACTGTACCCTCTGTACGTACATGAAGGGCAGCACAAAGCATTGTCAGGAGAATGTGTGCGTTCCATCATCAGGGCAAAATTCTCTGTACAGAAGGGTCCACACTGAAAAGCTTGCTTTGCACAGTGTTTTTGATGCACAAGCCTTTAGCTTTCAGGAAACAAACTGGTACATTCAATAGGACCTCTCCATCTCTGCCTCACCTTTTCAGGTCCTCGTGGGCCAAGTCCGTGGAACCAGTGTTGAGTGGCAGCACCATCTGCCTCCAGCTGCAATGGAACAGTCCCCAGGCACCTGCCGCTCTTCCACATCCATTAAAAGCGAGGAGCAGGGCAGGTCTGGAATGCCCCAGGTGGAGAGTCTGTGACTGCTCCTCACCTCAAGGGCAAGCTGCGTGGGTTTTGCCTTGGTTACTTGGTAACGCCTTTGTTACTTTTTGGGTTTTGGTAATAAATGTGGGCATAAACGTGATGGCTTAGTTGGCAGAGATGGAAACTTCAAGTGTGACATGGATGACTTTGCCGAATCTTAGAGGGTGGAGGCCGGGGGATTTTGCAACAGCCTCTGCAGGATGCTGGTGCCCAAGCTGTTTCAAGGGATGGTGAAGGTAAATATCCAAGCCCATCAGGAGGGCCAGAGCTCAGATCTTGGGAATTTCAAGCCTGCCACTCACCAGTGGACTGTGTTGCCCTCTAACAGTCCTGCAGGACAGACGTGTGTGAGTGTCCAGTACATGAAACCAGCTATTGAGGCATTTACCTAGGACTACCAGTGAGGGGGCATCAAAGCCATTGGGAGCTTTGGCAGAACCATGCAGCTGCCCTGTGTAAGCACAGGGCCATGTATGACACCTGCAGGCCAGTGTTTGTTCAGGCCTGTGACAACCAGAATGAGCTCAGTACCTGCAGTAAGCGGTGTGCTACAGCAGACTTGCTCCTTCACAAGGGAAGGTACATGAACCCTCTTTCCAGTCCTCAAGCCTTTGAAATCCAGTGTTGGTGATGTTGAAGTGCAAGGCCAGTGAAGGACTATTATATTTGTGTGCATGATTCTGCAAAGACACACAGGGTATGTGTGCAAATAGACACATAGCAACATATTAAAAACAATGCATTTGAGTCTGGAGAGATGATGGCTCAGCAGTGAAGAGCATTGGCTGCTCTTGCAGAGGACCCAGGTTTGATTCCTAGTACCCACATGGCTGCTAACAACCCTCCGTAGCTCCAGTTCTAGGGGAAATCCAATGCCCTCTTCTGGCCTCTGTGGGCATTGCATGACACAGGTGCACTTACATGCAGGCAATACACTCACATACAAAATTAAAATAGTAAATAAAATATTTTAAACACATTGCATTTATATAAACTATAGATTGATTGTTATATGCATATTTTTGCTTTAGGATGTGTATTATTTCTGGGGCTCTAATCTGCAAACCATTGGATATACTACATAAATACATTGGGGACTTTTAATTCAATAAAGCGGCCCACAAACAGACCAGATGGCTTTGACCCTGCCTACATTTGTCAGTTGTAGGGAAGTCCTTCTTAGAGCCCTCTATTGGCCGCCTGTGTTGATTTTAGCTTTGAATCCGGATTTGAAACTGGGATTTGCTCTCCTTTGAGAGGGGCAGAGTTATTTGGAAACATTTCATATTAATAAAATAATGTGCACCTGAGAGAGGTTGCAGCTTTTGGTGACAGGCTTCAATGGTGCATGCACAGCAAGGATCTTACTGAGTCTTGGTCTGATAGTGTTTCCCAAACTGGCTACTTGCCAAGAAATACATATTTATCAATGGAGTGTGAGCAAGAATCAGGGTTTCTTGTTATGTTATCTGTGTCCTAACTCAATGTATGTGGGAATGATGAATGTGACCATTTATGTGTTGTATGTGATGTGTTAATTTTCAAAGAAATTTGGAGAAACCATTGCACAACATGTGAAGAGATACCCATTTCTCTGAATTTCAATACCTTGTAGAATGGCAGATCCAGTGATCAGATAGAGGCCACCTGCCTTTCAAGGCTATCCCATATGTATGACGAATGCCTTTTGTGGGTTCCTACCTAGTACTACTTAGTGATTATTACTATGTCATAACTATTACAAAAAAGGATTCACTGAGCAGTTGGTTTAACATCTTTGATGTCATAACTATTACATGGATAAAAGGATTCAGTTGGTTTAACATCACAAGCAAAGGACAGTCTGTTTTCTCACTCTGATGGATTGTGCCACTTCCAGTCAGCCCATGATTTCTGACTTTCATTTTCTATTGAATTAAAGAAAATGACAAGTAAACTAAAATTCACTAGGGTCTGAAAGTCAGGTGTCTATGTGGTAGTATGTATAAGGCTTAAGAGTTAAACCTGTCTCCAAAAAAAAAAAATCAGACCAGAGGTGGGTGGATTTGAACAGGCTCCTGACCCCAACTGTGTTCATCCTGACCCTACTGCCCTTCCCTACCCAGGGGGACGTCCTCCTACTTCCTGGCTTGAGACCCATAGAAATGACTGCCTCTTTGCCTCACTCTGTAGTGTGGCTTGACTTAAAATGCTGCCTTCCACTCCATTCTACTTTTGCACCTGTTTGATTTTTTCCCCCATATTGTATTAAGATATCACTCATTTCCATGACTGAGGTTTTTTTGGTGTCCCATTAATACTCACTTACCTTACCTTACCTTAACCCCGCCAGCCGCAGAATTATTCATTCATTAGTTCATTCGTTCCTGGGAGAGGAGAATGGAGACAGACCCATGCTAGCTGTGTTGGGGGAAGGTCATAGTGGACTACAGGGCAGGGTCAAAAAGGCAAATCAACAGATAACCTCCAGGGAGCCAGAGAGCTATGCTACATGGACTGTGAACTTAGGTTTTCTCTTACTGCATCAAATTGGGTTTCCTCAACAGTCCTTCTGAGCTGTAAGTGCTTCTAGAAACATACTATATGGAGTCCTACAGCTCGAAGAAGCCACCTGTAGGTGATTTGCTTATCAGGGCCCTTGGGATCCACTCCAGGTCTGCCTGACTCTGGGCTCACACCTGCTGGGACGTGCTTATCGCCATCTCCCTCCATTCCCCATGAGGAGTCTGGGAAGGCTTCATGGAGGAGGCCCTTCCTGGACTGAGACTCAAAGCCCACATGAGAGTTGATAAGAAGATGGTGGTGTATAAGTCTGTGTGGCAGAAATGAATGTCGTGTGTCTTATCAGAGGCCCATGTCCGCAGTTCTGAGAAGCAGTTGAAGCTTGTGAAAGGCACTCGCGCTTCCTCATTTTGTGCCGTTTCCTCCCGACGTGGCATAAATAAATAGGAAGCAAGGCTCACTGCTGCCTGGAGACTCCTGAAGGAGGCTGCCTGTCCCCCAACACAGAGGTAGGACCCAGCTTCCTGCCGTGGAACTGAGGGTGGGCTCAAAGGAGGGAGCGTGCGGGTCTCCAGGAGGGAAGGGACAGAGGGAGCTGGGGTGGCAGGTTACTTGCTTCAGGGAGGTAAGGGCTTGGTTTCCCAGGAGAACTTCCTCCCAGATTCCCAGGCAGCAGCTGGAGAGGGGTTACCCAGGGTGGAACAACCACTAGCCAGTGCAAAGCAAGGGCTCTGGGAGGGTCCAGCATCACTGGGGGTTGGAATGGTTGTTACCGCCTTGGGGTCGCACTGTGATCCATCTGACTTTGCCACCAGATGTTGGTTCTCTCTCTACCCTGGACTTCTCTCTATTCCTTTGTGGCACAGGGCAAGTGTGGACAGTCTCTCCATCTTCAATTAGAAACTGAGAGAGGGAGAAAGGGAGAGAGGGAGAAAGGAAGAGAGAATATAGATCTGTGGAGCCTGGGATAAAAGAGATGCTGAAGGCAAAAATGTGGACCGTCTCAGAGCTGGATCCCAAAGCTGGGTGCATGGTGGGATGTTCACTTTGAACCTGGGAAGGGGCCCAGTGTTTTGCCTAGCCAGCAACCTCTGTCTCACTGTTTTGCTATCCCTCTGTGTATTGCTATTGTTTTTCTGGGGTTTATCTTTTTCTGTGTCTCTCTCTCTCTCTCTCTCTCTCTCTCTCTCTCTCTCTCTCTCTCTCTCTCATTTCTTTCTCTCTCATCTCACTGTACTGTAAACCCTCATTGGTGATTTGGGTTCAAACCCAGATATATGTGTTCTGTACTCTTAAGATGTTGGCTGGTAGATGGCACATCACAGTTCCCCTTCTGAGTGGGGTCAGAGGCAGTCTGACCACTGACATGTCTCATAGGTCATATACTAACTAGCACCATACATCCTCCATGTCGTGTCCCACAGGTCACACGTGAACCAGGCCATTGTTTTATAGAAGTCTTTATCTGACCTATTTGTTACCCAAGAATTTTCTCAGGGCTTGGATTCTTGCCACTGCTTAAACCCAGTACACAGTGCCTGTGAACCTAATTTCGCAGTCAAGGAACCCTCACCTCCTCCTTTATGGTACAACTTTCCTTTCTCCCTCCCTCCTTCCCTCCCTCCCTCCCTCTCCCTCTCTCTCTCTCTCTCTCTCTCTCTCTCTCTCTCTCTCTCTCCTTCCCTCCCTCCCCCCCTCCTCCTAGGGGACCTTAAAAGAAGACAGCTTGTTCTGTCTGGGTAGGCTGACACTTTACTGCAGACCCCACCATACTGTCAGCTCGAATTTGCCCAAATCTAACATTTTGGTACTGGAACCTGTGAGGTACCATCGAGGTGGTTTGTCCTGTGGGGCCCCTTGCCACTGCTCTCTCCACATCTAATACCAGACCTACATTCTTCTCTGATGAGTCCCCTGAGTCTTCTGGGATCCCCTCTCTGTCTATTCTGGAAATCTTAGCATTAAGTCAGGGGTTCCCCTGGCCTTGGGTCTGCTCCCTCAGTGAGACCTTTTTGAGTTTAGGGACACCTGTTCTCAGTCTTAGTCTACCACAGGTGGCCTGGTTGCACTTCCGAAAGGGGACCTGAGGGGCAGGAGAATACTTATCTCCCTCCCTCCCCATCCTCCAGCCCTGCTTGACTCAGCAGACTTCATAACAACACTACCTGCTCAATCTCACCTCCCCTCAACCAACTGCTGCGTAACTTCCAAATGCTTGATCTTGTTGGGAGATATCAAAAACTGTTTGCCTTTGCAACACTGTCACACTTGGTTTTAAAATGCTTAGATAACATCACACAGTCCGGTGGTGAGTGTCCTGAGGTCCCTTCCCCCAGGACTTTCTTCCTTCTCCAGAAACAGCTCCCTTTCTGTCAATCTTCTACCACATTCCAGATTATAAAGGACCCCATCCCCTCTAAGTGACATGATTCTCTTTCTCTCTCACTGTATTTCTGTCCACAGAGTCTATTCTTTATTAAAACTTTTACATCAATCATACACCTTGAGTTATTCTTGCTTTGACAGGAAGTGAGTGCCTGGGGGCAAGCAGGTGTGTGCATCCTTGTGTATACGTATACAGGTTTCTATCCACACAGGGCTGGGCTCATAGCCTCACAAGACAGGCTCCGGTGCTAGGCCCAGCTGTGGAGTTTTCAGTACCCACAGGCTCTGCTAGGGCATTTTTGCATATCCAGATTTTGACTTTACTGTACCATCTTTTCTGCTTCCTCCTACTTTTATAGTGAGTAGCCTCTGCACCTCGTCTTTATCAGTATTTTCACATATAGCTGTGCCAAGCTATATGTGTACCAAATACTCTAGGAGAATGGGGGATTGCATGAGTCCATAACTGTGTTTAATGTCAAAGAAAAACAAAGCACCTGCTTTACTAAGAATTAGAATACAGAGACATGGCTCAGCAGTTAAGAGCACTGGCTGCTCTTGCAGAAGACCTGGGTTCGAATTCCAGCACCCACATGGCAGCTAACAGCTCTCTGTAACTCCAGTTCCAGGGGATCCGACAGCCTCTTCTGTCCTCCGAGGGCTTTGCATGACATGGGTACATTTACCTACATGCAGGCAATACACACATACACATGAAAATAATAAATAAAATATTTAAAAAAGAATTAGAATACAAGGTTAGGCATTGTGGTATATACCTTTAATCCTAGCCCTTGGGAGGCAGAGTCAGGCAGATCTCTGTGAATTCAAGTCTAGCTTGGTCTAGTGAGTTTCAGGCCAGCCAGAACTGCATAGTGAGACTCTATCTTTAAAAACATTAACATAGCTAGGCGTGGTGACACATGCTTGTAATCGCAGTACTCAAGAGGCAGAGGCAGACAGAGTCTGTAAGTTCAAGGCCAGCCTGGTCTATATAGGGGGTTCCACACCTGTCAAGACTACATAGTGAAATCTTGTCTCAATTATATATATCTTTGGGACTAGAGAGAGGGGTACAGTAGTTAAGAGTGCTTTTTGCTCCTCCGGAGGACCCAAATTCAGTTCCCTGCACCCATATTCGGTGACTTATAACCACCTGTAACTCCAGCTCCAGAGGATCTGACTTCTGCCCCCTTGAGCACCAGTACACACATGGCCAACAGACACACAAATACACAGACACACACAAATTTAGACAAAAGTTTTTTCAAAAAAATTAGAATAATCCAGAATCATGATTTTTTGCAAATACACTATTGCATTTGTGTGACTATATAGATTCTGATGTGACTGTTTTTAAATTATCCAACACAATCTGTACAATTAACCATACAGTCATCTATTGAATTTAAAAAGTTTTGGCTTCAGAAAATTTGTCAACCTAACCTGAACTGGTTTTTTTAGGTTGCTCAGAATGGCAGGATCTCAGAAATGTGGTCTGTCTACTCATAGTTTTGCTTGGCAAATGTTTATAAGCCATATAAAAACCACCTGCAGAAGCGTTTTATGTGGGGACACACACACACACACACACACACACACACACACACACACAGAAGCAACCCAGAATGACCCTTCTGTATGCCAGTTAAATGTCAGCTCTGGTTGAGTGACAACTGGGAAATCTTCCCAGTATTTAGAACGAGCTGTTCTCCAGTGCAGAGATACACCAAAATGCTCTTTTTGGATAAAGGAACCAAGTACAGAAAGCTTTCATATTTGTTCAAGGCAACCAATGCTGTTGATGCAAAACAGAAATCAACACAAAGTCCCAGCAGCTCTCCAGATGCAACTCTCGAAACCAACATATCAAACTTGACTTCCTTTAGACGATAGTTATTTTTTTCTAACAGTAGAAATTTAAAAACCAGGTGTCTGAATTTATACATATGTATAAATATAATCCCAGTGCTTCGGAGGCAGAGGCAAGCAGATCTCTATGAGTTCAAGGCCAGCCTGGTCTACATAGTCAGTTCCAGGACAGCTGGGGCTACAGGGAGACCCTGTCTCAAAAAGACCAAAAAAAAAAAAAAAAAAAAAAAAAAAAAAAAGGCAAGCAGTTGAGATGCAACCACTTTCCAAAAGGTACCACATTAGCCTCTTTTCATGGGCCCTTGGGGCCTGCCTGTTTTCAGGCACCACATCCTCAGCATCTTTCCATCTGAGGAAAACATGGGTTCTCGCTGCTGGGTGGGGCCATTGTTCCCTCGGGATGGGAAAAGCCCATTGGCTGGCCAGCAGCGTCTTCTTTGATTTGCTCCTATCACACTCAAGTTGTTTTGCTTTTGGGTCCATCTTTTTCTCTCCCAGATTTTTGAGAGTCAAGAGATGATTCAGTAGACAATCTAACTTTTCTCCAGGTTCCCGAGTACTTCTAGCATCGACAGTCTCACCCACTCCAGGAAATCCTTTGTCTTCCCTTTCGCTCACGCCCCTCCTGAACCTTTTCCTCCACGCATCCCAGAGGCTCTGCCCTTGGTGTTTCATGCTTTCTTTCAGTTCCATTTTTTGTCTCTGGCTTCTTGGAGCCCATTCTTCCCCCACTGCTGCCTACTGGAAGAGCTGAGATGCTGAGTCTCCAGCTTCAGTTACATCCAAGAGATGAATTTAAAATTTTAATAAGTCTAATCAGATCATCCCACTGAAGAGTGTCACAAGACGCTGGCATTCTGGAAGCTCTTACTTCCTTCGTTTGCTCAATGGATAATTCTCTCTCTCTCTCTCTCTCTCTCTCTCTCTCTCTCTCTCTCTCACTTGACAACTTTTGTTCATACATTTGTTGGTCATTTTTTATTTATTTTTATTTTATGTGTATGAGTGTATTGCCTGCATGTGTGTAAGTGCACCCGTGTCGTGCAATGCCTGCAGAGATCAGAAGAGGGTATTGAATCCCCTGGAACTGGAATCACGCATGGTTGTTAGCCATATGGGTAGTGGGACTAGAACCCAGGTTGTCTGCAAGAGCAGCCAGTGCTCTTAACCACTGAGCCATCTCTCCAGCCCCACTGACGTCTCACCTTCTGGAAGAATTTAGCTGTTCCATGCATTAGTATTTAATGACAGA